AATAGAATGAATACAAATAAACAACCTGATGTTACAACTCAAAGATCTAGAAAAAGAAGAGCAAGTCAAGCCCCAAGCCAAAAGAAGGGAGGAAATTATAAAAATCAGAGCAGAAATTAATGCAATATTGACTAAGAAAACAATTCAAAGAATCAATGAAGCAAAGAGTTGGTTCTTTGAAAGAATAAATAAAATTTATAAACCCCTAGCCAAACATTAAAAAGGGAAGAAAACTGACAAATTCATGCAATAAGGAATGAAAAAGGTGAAATCACTACAGACTCTGAGGAAATACGGAAGATCATCAACACCTATTTCAAAAGCCTCTACTCTCATAGGTTCAATAACACAGAAGAAATGGACAGATTCATAGAAGCATGTGACCTACCAAAGCTGGGTCAAGAAGATGTAAAACTTCTGAATAACCCAATTTCTATTAATGAAATAGAAAATGTAATTAAGTCCTTAACTACAAAGAAGAGCCCAGGCCCAGATGGATTCACTGTGGAATTCTACAAGAAATACAAAGAAGACTTAATGTCCACACTCCTCAAACTCTTCAGTGAAATCAAAAAGGCAGCAACTCTTCCTAAGTCATTATTGGAAGCAAATATTTCTCTAGTACCAAAACCTGAGAAAGACCCAACTAAAAAAGAGAACTATAGACCGATCTCCCTAATGAACACAGATGCAAAAATCCTCAATAAAATATTGGCAACAGGATGCAGCAAATAGTGAAGAAGGTTATACACCACCACCAAGTGGGATTTATCCTAGGCGTGCAGGGACGGTTTAACATACGTAAATCAATAAATGTAATCCACCATATCAACAGAGCCAAAAGTAAGAATCACATGATCATTTCTATAGATGTAGAAAAGCTTTTGATAAGGTCAAACACTCATTCATGATAGGAGCCTTACAGAAAATTGCAATATATGGTCTTTACCTCAATATGATAAAGGCCACCTATGATAAACCAACAGCCAGCATCATATTAAATGGCCAAAAACTGAAGGCCTTTACCTCAAAATCAGGCACAAGACAAGGATGTCCCTTATCACTGCTATTCAATATAGTACTGGAAATACTAGCCAGAGCAATTAGACAAGAGAGAAAAATAAAAGGGGTAAAGATAGGAAAGGAGGAATTTAAATTATCATTATTTGCAGATGACAAGATACTCTACATAGAAGACTCCCAAAACTCCACTGGAAGACTCCTAGATATAATAAATAAATTCAGCAATGTAGCTGGATACAAAATCAATACTCAAAAATCAATAGCATTTCTATACACTAACAACAAAATCACTGAAAGAGAAATAAGAGAAGCCACACCCTTCACACTAGCATCCAAGAAAATGAAATACTTAAGAATTGCTCTCACGAAAGAAGTAAAAGATCTATTCAGAGGAAATTACAACACCCTCAAAAAGACATCAAAGATGATCTCAGAAAATGGAAAGACATCCCTTGTTCATGGATAGAAAGAATAAATATTGTAAAAGTGGCCATTATCCTAAAACTGTAATACAGATTCAATGCAATCCCAATAACAATACCATCAAAATACCTTATAGATTTAGAGAAATCATTCCTAAAATTCATCTTGAACCAGAAGAGACCTAGGATAGCAAAGACAATTCTAAGCAACACAGGCAAGGCAGGAGGCATCAAAATCCTTGACTTGAAGTTATACTACAAAGCAACTGTAATAAAATCAACATGGTACTGGAATAAAAACAGACCTTAAGATCAATGGAATGGATTAGAAGTTACAACCACAACCATAAACACTCAACCACCTTATTTTGATAAAGGGGCCAAACATGTTCACATGACAGTCTCTTTAATAAATGGTGTTGGAAAAACTGGCTCTCTATATGCCAAAATCTAAAACTAGACCCAAGCCTATCACCATGTACTAAATTAAAATCTAAATGGATCAAAGATCTGAATATTAAAACAGAAACACTAAATCTGATGGAAGATAAATTGAGTAGAAATCTGGAAGATATAGGGGTAGGTAGAGAATTCATGAACAGGAATCAAACTACACAGAAATACTTCCCAGAATCAGTAACTGGGATCATGTCTTATTAAAATGTTTCTGCATGTCAAAAGAAATCTCCAACATACTGAAAAGAAAACCCACAAACTAGGAAACAATCTTAGTGAACTGTCCCTCAGACAAAGGACTTCTGTCTAAAACATATAAAGAATAAAAATTCAAACCCCCAAAATTCCAAGATCCAATCCAAAAATGGGCGTCTGAGATGAAAACACAGTTCTCAGATGAAGAAATACAAATGGCAAATAAATTCATGAAAAACTGTTAAGCATCATTACTCATTAGAGAAATGCAAATTAAAACCACATTGAGATTCCATCTTACTCCAGAAAGAATGACCAGGATCAAAAAAACTACCAGCTACAAATGCTGGAGAGGCTGTGGGGGAAAAGGAACTCTCCTGCAGTTTAGGTGGGAGTGTAAACTGTTGCAACCATTGTGGTGATCAGTCTGAAGATTTCCAAAAGCTGGGATTGGAAGTCCCATTTGATCCAACTATTTCACTTCTAGGCATATTCCCAGAAGAACTGAAAACATCATACCCCAGTGATATATGTGCACCCATATTTAAAGCAGCACAATTTGTAATACCCAGATCTTGGAAACAACCTGAGTGTCCAACAACCAAGGAATGGATAAAAAAGTTTTTGTATTTTTATACAATGGAGTACTACTCAGCTGTAAAGAATGATCACATTGAGATATTTATAAATAAATGGGCACAACTTGAGACCATACTTACAAGCGAAATGAATCAAACTCACATCTATAAATACTATATAGTCTCCCTAGTGTAAGAAATGGTAAAAGTATATAAAGTTTATGATTCTCCTTTACAGTGCTTTGAAGACTTATAATGTTTCCATTCATTAGTTGAAATTGTTTTATCCTGGGTTGTTTGATTTTATTGTCTGTGATGGCATGAACAGCTATTTTGAAGAAAACATGACATTATAACAGCCAGTGCTGATTTAATATCATCTTGATAGCCTGAGCCTTTGCAAAAAAAAAAAAATCAATGTGTCTATTTCTTATTATTTGGTTCTTTATTTATATTTTGGGTTTCCCATATAAGAAAACCACATAATTAAGCTTGTGTTGCTGATTCATTTTACTTAACATTATGGTATCAAGGTATATCCATTTAATTGTAATTAAATGGATTATAATTAATTATGATTATATAATTAATTATATAATTGGAATGGGTTGGAAAGGGTTGATATATTATGTTTAGTTTACTATCATGTTTCAACTTCCAAGCATTTAACGAGTCAGAATTAGTAGAAATATGTTAACTCATATTTCATTCTCAAAGAGTGCCTGAATGTTTTAAAGGGTAAGAACAATTTTTAACGATAAAAGTAACTAAAAGCCAAGTCACATGGATAAAAAATTAAATATCATTTTATGCATTCATTTTTTAATAAAATAAAATAATTTTCATTTAGATATTGGTACATGAGAATAAATTGTCTTATTTTATATTTTAAATTTTTATGTTTATCATAGTGGTTTGTAGTGCATTTTTTAGAACTGCTGATTTTTGAGAAATTGATTATATTTTTTTATTTTTCACTGTAAAATTTGACATATTTGTATGCTATTATATTTAAAATTTAAATTTAAAACTCAACATTTTAGAATGAGTTTTCTTGATAATGACAAAAATTGAATTTTCTACAACTTTGGTGCAAACAGAGCAAGCTCTTTAGTATGTAGTAGACTGCATGAATGAAGCAAACTTTTTCTTTGGTTGAGCAGGGGTCTAGATTTGTTGGTACAAGGGCTTTTGCTGTATACAAGAGCAGTAGAGCTCTTAGTGCATTTTCTGTTGCTGTAACAAAATACATAGATTTGGTTAATTAAAAAGAAAACAAGGTTTACTTAAAAAAACTCCACAGTTTTGGAGGTTGAAAGTCCAAAATCAAGCCACTTCTTTGGTCTTTGGTGAGGGCCCCCTTGGCTATTTCACAACATTATAGCACAGACTTTATGTAGGCTTTAAGTAGAAGTTAAGCACAAGGAGGTGTCCTCACTTTGTAACAACCCACTATTACCCATATGACAGAAAAGTTTAAAATCAGCAGTCTGATGCATGTTAAGACAAGATGTACTCACCCTGCCCACCATACAGTTAGACCAATAGACTCAGCCATAACAGACCACATCAGCAATTTAGAGATGGTCCAATGTGGCTTAGTCTAACTGCATCCATCTGGACTGCCTATAAACATATTCTATTTTCAATGACTGTCCAACTGAAATAGACTAGTCAAGTACACACTTAGTTCCAATCAACCCCTCAGCCCCAGCTCCCTCCCCAGTTTCTCCTGCCTTATGATAAATAACCCCTCCAGCTAACCTGCCCAAAACAAACCTGCCTGACAACATAAAACTTGATTCATGTAACCAATTATATAATAACCTGTTATCAGCTTGTGTACTTATGCATAAAAATCCCATACAAACTAAACCCAAAGCTGACTTGGGGCTAGTGGTTTGAAACTGATTTCTACCAACCTACTAGCATAATAAAAGTTACCTTCCAATTCTTGGGGTGGACCATCTTGGTTTTGGTTCAGTACTGGATTTCTGCAACCCCTGAACTAACTGGAGTCCCATAAAAACTATATTAATCCTGATTTCTATACTATTGGTGATTCACATACCTCTTTTGGTTTTATTATATATTTGATCCTATTTACAGATCTTTAAGAAATTCCTAAGTGCTTTCGGTTTATCCATTTTCTTCTTTTATTGTATCTTATGTTTACATGTTTTAATGTGAGTTTAAATGGTGATGTGATTGTATGCATTTGTCTATCAGTTTCCTTAGACTGGAAATTAAAATTAACACCAAAAGAAAGGCTTACAACACATATTAATGATTTCATTGGATTACAGTGTAAAACACACACAAAATATGTGAGCAAAATGTAAACATTTATTAAAATGTAGAAACTTTACATATTAGAAAGTACCTTATGAATATCTAAACAAAATTAACTACATATTTATTGTTGAATCTTTAACATTAGTCAAATAATTAATAATGCATAGAACCTTAAAACAGGAGAAAAGTACAATTGCCTAAAGTTTATATCAATTAAAGCAAATTAAAATCTTACTAAAGAAATTATTTTTCATATTAACGATGTATAACATAGGTGTTAGTTCCATATCATCATTCCATAATAAGGGATTGTACATACCAGTACCAATTTATAGTGATTATATGTATGATTTCTTGCTTTTACTTTCTTATATACGCTTGGTAAAAACTGTGCCTTGAATTGCAATCTCTTCCCAGACTAGAGATATGTAGTATCCTCCTCTCTTGTGATGCTGAGCAGCAGCTCTGATTCACCCACACAATCACAAAGGTGAACAACTGATTTCAGTGTGCTGTATTGCAAGTTGTGATGTCTAATGTATTAAGAGCAGAAATGAACTTTTGTCTCTTGATATTTTCAACTCATGATAGCTTTATTGGGAAATGACCCAACTGTGAGTCAAGTAGCATCTGTCTTTCCTCTCATTCTTCTTAGGAATACAAATGAAAACAGCGTATCTACAAAAAACTTAAAGTTTTATCTCCCCTGAAATTATCTGCTCATAAAGTTCTTGGGTCAATGGCACATAAGATTTTTTCAAGTTGTCCATAAGGTAAAGTGGATCAGAAATTTTCAGTGGATTAAATCCTTCTTCCACCAACTGAAACTTCTGCAGTTTGAAAGTCTCCGTGGTTTCCATTTTTTCCTGTAAACAATTACCAAGATGAGTGGAACAACTTAGTGCTATCTAACATAGCCATTATATGTAAATAAAATATTTAGCACTGTAGAATATAATATTTAACTGTAACATTTTATGTTTAATAATATTCATATAAAGTTATGAATATAATCAACAAACTGATTAGAAGTATGTTTAAAACACATAGTTTATATTCTTAATTCAATGCCAAAACAAAATTATATACAGAAAATACTATCAGAAGTTAGGAGTTAAAAGCTATAAAAGACAGCAATTTCTTCAAAAATCTACCACATAGAAAAGAATATCTTGGAAACAGAGGTCATAAAAAAATGTTTTAAAATATGGATCCCTGAACTGGGGACTCCTCAGTGAGTTTTCAGAAGATACTTTAAATTGTCAAGGGAAATCCAATCAGGGTCAGCACTCATAAACTACTAGCTCAAGGTATTTCAAAGTTTCAATAATAATTTGTGATATATTCTTTTCAATCATAGCATAAGTGGTTTTAAATGGTTTCTGTGATACAAATGAAGTTTGTTAAAAATCAAAGTGGAACATGAAATTAGTCTTTGTCAATCTAACTCAAAAGTTTGAATAGCTTTGTGGTGCCCAACTAACCTCTTTTCAATTAGTAATTATGGTCATTTGAAAGTTTTAAAAATTTATATACAATGTCTTTTTTAGGATGACATCTAATTTCTTAGATCTAAATACTTACGATTTTGATCTAAATAGTAAATAAATAAATAAATAAATGTTTGCCTATTTATTTTGACCTAAGAGTGCCATAACAAAAATTACTGAACCACTAAAAGTACAATGAATCCAGAAAGTTTAAGAATGTCTGCTTTAGGGATTTAAAAGAGAAGACAGTGTATCCTTTGGGAGAGTTTCAGATATGAAACAACAACTTACTTTAGATTAGGTGGCCTTTCAGAGATTCATTTAACATTCCATAAGAATTCTGGGCATTTTATTCACACTTCTGAACAACTTAAGAGTCAACTAAACTTTGAGCCTCTTCCTTGCCTCTCCCCCCTCTGCTAGTAAGATTTTCATCCCAGAATTAGATGAATCTATGTGGGCGTACATGTTTCCCTTTTTCAGAAAACTAGTATTTCACTATATCTATACAATTTGGTGTTCTTTTTAAAGCTATTGGTCACACCATTGTCTTCAAATGAACACTTTAAAAAATAGGTTTCAGAACATTGGAATAGACAAGGACAAAACCACACAAGCATGATGCAAAAGCCAAAGTAGACAAATGGGACTATATCAAACTACAAAGCTTCTGTACAGCAAAGGAAGAAACAAACTACAGAATGAGAGAAAATATTTGTAGCGTATATCTGAACAGGGATTAATTTCCACAATAAACAAGGAACTCTAAAAACTCACTAGCACAGTGGAAATAATAATAGCCTGCTCTTAAAAATAAGCAGCATACATAAATGCTCATTTCTTAAGAGAACACTTAGAAATGGCCAACAATTCTATGAAAAAATGTTCAAGGAAATGCGAATTAAAACCATAATAAGCTATTATTTCACCGCAGTAAGAATGGCCATTATGAAAAGACTACAGATAACAAGCTCTGATGAAGAAAGAAAGAAACTCTTGAATATTACTAGTGAAAATATAAACTGGTACATGGAAAAGAGTATGAAGGTTTTGCAAAAAATTAGAAGTAGAATTACCACATTTTTCAGCAGCCTCATTGCTAGGTATATATCTAAAGAAAATGAAATCAGTATGTCTAAGAGACAGCTACACTCCCATGTTTAGTGCAGTTCTACTGATAACAGCAAAGATGCAAAAATAACCTAAGGGTTTATCAGAGGATAAATGGATAGAAAAATACGGTACATTTGTACCATGGAAAACCATTTGGTCACAAAAGGAGTTAAATCCTGTCCTTTGCAGCATTATGGATATAACCGAAGTCAATTATGTTAAGTGAAAACATACATGCATAATATATAAATACAAGTACCACATGATCTCATTTATATGTGGGATCTAAAGGAGTTGATTGCATAAAAGTTAAGAGAAGAATGTTGGTTATCGGGGCTGGGAAGAGAGGGGGAGGAAGGAAAAAATGGGAAAAGATTGATCACTGGGGACTATATTAATGTTAGATAAGAACAAGAAGTCTATACATAGAAAAGTGTAATTTTCAAAAGTACAATTCAAAAAGTTAGAAAAAAGGCTTTCGAAAGTTTGTACCATAAAGAAATAATAAATGTCTGAGATATAGATATATAAATATGGCCTGATTTAAGCACCTTAGAATATATACGTTTCAAATCATCACAAGATACTCTGCTAGTGCAATTTTATGTTACACATAATACATCCAATATTGCCTTAGCATTTGTTTGCAATTAGCATTTCACAAGGCTGTTATGAAATCAACATGAAGCAATGTAAAATTCTTAAGGATATGCCAATGAAGCATGTGCTTATGATGTATGAGTGATGCACGCCATTGGACAAGCAGTAATTTGGTTATCAGGATTCCTAGGCAAATTCTTTAAAAATGACCAAGACAACACCTACTGACTCACTGCCGATAGTAATATAACAAATGTACTCAGAACGAGTTTGTGGGATTTGAGGTTAAGAGATAAATATTACATATGTTTTGGAAATTACATTTGAGGCACTGTGTTAATAAGTAAAGTACAGGGTAAATGAGTAAGCACAGTTACCAAGCTGAGTAATTCTTTCTCTTTTCACTAAATACTATACCCAACAAGACGGATCCTTTTTCCCCCAAAAACTGAACTCAGAATTCTCCAAAATACAAAGCGGAGAGGGCTGGACAGAAAAGTAAAACTTTAGAAGCAGGACTACTTAAAGCCAATAGGCTATGGGGCCTGCCCACGTTCTACGGACACCTTGAGGTCTGCGGGATGGAACACAATTATTCACAAACTAGTCATACAAATATCTCAGCATTTGTACAAAATATGAGTTTGACTTTCCAGCTTTACTGGGACCACAATTTTACTTTGCAGTTCTAACTGAAGGAGGAGGGGAGGAGAGGGGAGGGGGAGGGGGAGGAGAAAAAGATGAAAGGGAAAAACAGAAAGAGGAGAAAGAGGAAGAGTGGAAAAGGAAGAAGAAGAGGAGGAGGAAGAACAAAGTGATTCTAAAATCAAGGCAAAGACAAAGACAAATATATTCTAGTGTTTCTTACTTAGGCTTTAAATAGCATGAACTCTAAACTCCATGCCCCTATGTTTTTCATTATTCTTGACATTTTCTAATATACTAAAATATACAGTGGTACCTCAGTTCACAAAATTATCCACAATTCTGGTCACGAACCAAATTGGACATGAACTGAATCAGTTTTTCCTATAAGATCAGCATTGAACCTAACCATGGAATTTGATTTAGTTCTCACCCAATGCAGTTTAAGACCAGAATCCTGGAAAGAATTAAGTTGTGACAGGAAGCACCACTTAATCTAGAGGATGTAATATTATATTGTTGTTAAGCCACTTCCAGGTTTCCGATATTAGATTTGAGTTGGACCACAGAATTACCTGAATTCTTAAAAATCGTGGGCAGGCATAAGACGGTAGAGATGTCACAACTTGTTCATAAAACTTTTCTAAATTTAAAGACTTATTTGGTTTTAAAATAATGGAAGCCATTCCTGCTTTTCCTTCATAACCTGAAAGAAAAGTTGATATAGAATCAAGTTTAAATACCAGATCAATTAAAATTCTGTTAATATATTTACTGCTCCTGAGGTATTTAAATTATCTGAGTCATATTAATGCAACCATGGCATAGATCAGTATGTGGCCTTCTTTAGAAATAATTTAACAACAGGGGAATCCATAATCTATCTCTAATTGTCTATGGCACAAGAATAAAATTCATTGAATGGGAAATCAAAGTTATCCATAGTTGCATACTACCACCACTAACAAATACACTACAAAAGAAAGCATTTATTTAAGGCAAATATACTCCAACAGGAATGCACACATTTTAGACATCGATGTATTTTTAAGTTAAAACTAAGAACTGTATTTCCTTAATTCCATACACTGCTCATGGCTTATCATGCGGGACCTTAGAAGGGGGCAGATCACGCTGCAGCTATTCTGTAACATCCACTGTCTAATAAACATCCCTTTCCTGTGTTCTCCTGCTCAAACACTCCTCACCTGGAATCTCCCACTCTTATGAGCATAAGCTCAAAACTATTTTCAGTTGTTAAAAACAAAAAAGGACAGTGAAAAAGAACAGCTGCCCTATAATTTCAAATTGGTGCCTTTTGCACAGCACATCATTCTCACCATCATAAAATACATACATGTTACATGTAATATGTTATAATTCTATGAAGCCATATAAATTTTAAATGATTTTTAAAAAGACAAGTTTTAAAAAGAACAGGCTAATGTTATTAAACACTTAAAGTAGAACACACTCTTTTTCAGCCCTTGTCATCACAAGAAAAGTAACAGGCCTTTGAAAGCCTTTGACAATTGTCAAACAGTAATCACTCTACCAAACATTCAAGCTCTAGTCTAAAAATACCTATAGGCATTAAAGTACATTTAGTGCATGTCTCCTAATGTGTTATCGAGTTAGCTTAGTCAACGATATCACTCGCCAAGACTAAGGTTTCTTCTAATGTCCTAAAATTTTAAAAAACTGAGTTGGCAAAATAGCTTTAAAACTAAAGTACATTTGTACATTCTACTCTCAAAATTCTTCAGAATCAGAAATCTACTCATACCTGACACAGCCACTCCGTAGACGTTGGTTTCCTGTATAAAATCCAGCATCCCAATAATATCAGCGACCTCTGTGGTTGCCACATTTTCTCCTTTCCACCTGAATGAAAAACAGACTTCTGTTGGTGCACCTGTATTTGAAGCATTAGGTGCACGCTTCTGGTTTTAATGCCTTGCATTTGGTTCTGTGCAAGCACCGAGTGATCAGAAATAACTAGCTTTCAAAACAAATATCATTTCTAAGGAAGTATTTTGTTGGTTAAGTCAATAAAATCAGCATCTAGATTTCGGTTAAAATTATTTTTCTTAAGTCTTAATGATAAAAATTCTTGTGGTAAAATGTCTTATAAATACACTTAAAAATAAATATAAATCCTCAAAATAATAAGTATGCAGACTTCTTTATTTGGGGTGAGGGCGGAATACAGAATTAAATGAAAAGCTATAGTTGTCTTTCATTTTCCTTTTTTTTTTTTTTTTTTTTTTTTTTTTCTGTTTCTGAGACAGAATTACACTACATCACGGTATTTCCTGGGCTAGTCTTGAACTCTTGGGCTCAAGTCACCTCTAGCTTCGGCCTCCCAAAAAGGTCAGGATACAAGTGCAGACGCAGTGCCCAGCCTAGAGCTGCGTTTCAGTACTACGTATAAAAGCAGTAGCTCCTTCAGCTTCTTTAATTCATATGAACACTTTGTTTTAATTCAAATAATTTCATATAAAGTGAGCTTTTAACACAGTACAAAAAGCAAGAATGGAGGAAGTATAATTTATTAGTTCAAGTATTTGTTAAATGCTTATCCTAAAACTTTACTATTTCATTTCATTTTATTTTTTATCGGTACCACGTGCTTGCAAGGCAGGCATTTATGCCACTGAGCTAAATCCCCAGCCCCGCCTTTACTATTTTATAGCAATTGACAACTAAAGCAAAATAATTTTATAGACCCAAAATAATTTTAGAAGAATAAAAAAGAAATACAAGAAAGAAAAAAATTTCCCTTTCTATAATTTTTTATGAAAAGAATGAGACCATCTTGGTTTTCTTTTTAATATTACTATTTAAGCTTTGCATTTGTCTGGAAGTCTCATATTCTAAAAAAGAGGTTTATTGCTGTACATTAAATGTGATTCATTAAAATCATTATAGAATTTTATATCAAAATTTAATTTACAGTTCAATCTAGAAATGATGGTTAATAAATTTGTAAATGAGGAGGCATTATGAGGTAAAAGGGCTGTGTCTGTTCTGACAGCTAAAAAAATACGTGGTATGTAATGTTTCTAGAAAAGCATAGCAGTTACAGATCAAATCAGGCTTGGTAGAGTTCATACCTGAATGTGTCTCCAATACGGTCCCAAAAATAAAGAAAATTCTCCTCGTCTTGGACCATTAGGTCTCCTGTGTTAAAGTAAACGTCTCCCTTCTTAAAAACATCAAAAAGCAATTTGTTTTTTGTGTGCGTATAAGACCCAGCATAACCAAAGAAGGGATTCTTGTTATTTACACAAGAAATGAGAAGTCCAGGTTCTCCTGCAAGAGGAAAAGACATTTTTGCAACCCGCTGGTTAAAACTACTGTTGTGTGTCTCTAAATCTGTCTAACTCAATCCCTGTTGCTCATCTCACTTTCCTTAGAATGCACTTCTATCCTATTTGATCTCACCAATCTCAGCCTACACATCGTATATCATTTCAGAGATGACCAAGAACACAAATTTAGAAAGACTATTAAAAAGGGAATTGAACATGAAAGTGTAATACATTTCTTTAACTTTCCGAGCTGATAGCCCAATGGCTATTTCATTCTGGATCACATAGATTTTAATGCAGAAAATATTCTCAGCAACATAAATACCAATCCTAATAATAATTATAATTAAATGATCAGAGAATATTCGTTGGACACATGCCATGACCTTCTTGCAACTTTCATTTTACTTATTCTTTTCAGAAATCATTAAGTTTATTAGTCTTGTTTCATAAGGAAGAAGGATCTAGTACCCAAGAGGAGTGAAGCAATTTCCGAAAAATGAGAAACAAATAATCCTAGAATTCAAATTCAAGTCTCCATGATTTTGTGGCAAAGTTTCTATAAAATACTGTTTCTGATACTATTGATATGCTATTAGTAATGTTTAGAAATGATATACTCTGAGATGCTCTTCTGGGAATCCTTGATAAGAAGATTTTAAGTCTTCAGAAGACTTAATATTCTTTGTTTTTCTTTTTCAGGACACGGATGAGTTTCTTCTTTGATAAACTAATGACTGGGAATACTTAATAAGTCAGAGCATATTCATATTATTCTTGCTTGGGCATAATTTACATTGTGAGGACACAATGTCTTAATGGAAAAAATGAATAATTCATAATGAGAATCCTAAATTGGTAAAGCAGATTATTTTGGGTCAAACAGTATGTTAAGAAACTCTGAGACCGTATGCATTATTTTGAGATTCAAATCCTAATATCAGATATTATTGTAATTATAATAAAGCACTTGTATTTTCCTTTAAAAAAAAAAACTTGTTTTTAAATTCTTTGCAACTTCTTTATAAATGGCTTTTTTATTGAAAAGTGTCTGCAGAGTTGAATTAGAGGAACATATTTGATTGATACCCTTAGGCTTAAAAGTCAGAGATTTGGAGAATTTTTTTAATAAAGCTTTTATTTTTTAGTCTGTCAACTACCAGGACATTAAAAATAGTTTTCCAATCTATCTCTCCACATCTGAAGTAAATACTTAGGAAGGCATTTCTGAGATGAAGTTTGAGTCAATATGAAGCAGTAAATAATAATTTAGACCTATACTATTGAGGTTGAATTTCTAAATAATACTAAGTGCGTATCTCTACATCTCATTTTATTTTTAGCTGATTGTATGATGTTAATTTGGGTCCTTTTTTTCACTAAAACTTGTATCCTCCAATTGTAGGTCTAGCTTGTGAAAAGAGGTAATTGACAAAAGAGGAGAGAAAAGGAACAAATCCGAGGATTTACACATATCTCATTTAACTGTCAAGGCTGGCCATTGACAACAATTATCTCTAATTTACATATGGAAAAATGAGACTCTGATAGACTAACTGGCCCATCATCATGGTTTCTCAGTAGGAAAGTCCAAAGTTAAATCCACATGGACCTCATCTTTCACTATATCCAGAATAACATGCTGTTTCATGATACGGAACATTAGAAGCATGGTACTATTATAGATTAGAAGTGGTAGATTAAGCAAAATAGGTAAGTAATACTTACTTTTTAATTCTGGTAGTTTATTCTCCAAGAGACCCTGTTCGGGCTAGCAATATGTAATAAATAATTAAACTATCCTACTTGCATTAAAACTCCAAATTACACATTAGAATTAGTAATTCTTTTCTAAATTCAGTGATAATTATATGCAAGTAAGGAGAGTTACAGAGACATCTTAAAATATTTCTTACCCTTTTTCACACGGCTACACCAGTTTTGATCATTTCTCATGGGTGTATCTTTCTGAAAGTCATACTTTATCAAGTCAAAATTGAAAAAAAGCTGCAAAATCAAAGTAAAACAGAGAAAAACAAGCATTTAGTTCATGCTATGACATCTTCTAATTGTTGATTTTATGCTCAAATAGTTTTATAAATACAAGTTTCTTTTACAGACAAAAATCAAATACTTGAAACTCACAACTGAGGTTTAGTGAACAGCACCTTTTTACTGGCATTTATTTTATTTCTTTTATGTTCTATTTTGTCTTAGAAAAATAATACTAATTTTTAATCATGAATGAATTATAGTAAGACACAGGCACAACCCAAGCATTTATTTACATACTCTTCTAACTATAGGTGAGAAGACAATCATTCATACCATCTTTTGAAAAGGAAAAATGGAATAGAGGTAAAATACAAACTGAGACTGCCAAGATTTTGTGTCCTTTGCCCTACAGTTTCTAGAAATGTGACCAAATGACTAAGAAGTACAGTTACTTGATAACTACTTGGCTTTTCTGTCTATGGTTTTCACCTTAATGTTCCTAATCTGGCATTCAGCATTTCCATAAACTATTGCGGGGATGACAAAATCGTTTCTACATCCTTGCAACGCTGGGAGCTGAGCTGACTGAATGCTGCCCCTCAGGCCCAGGCATTCCTGGCTACTTGGACCCCGCAATGTCTCTATTATCATGCTACACGGACGCCTAGGTCCACTAAATCCTTACCATGCAAGAGAACCACAGATTAGTGCAGCTCTCTCATTTTAGGTATAAGGTTTTACTGATAATTAAACAAGAATGCTTATTAAACTGAATTAGATATGGTAAACTCAGATGGAGATAATAAAACAAAATGAGAAAAATTATAAGTGAAGGCAAATAAGGGAGAGAAAAGTGGGAGGCAGATGGAGGAGCGAACAGTTATACAGGAAGAGGAGTGAGACGAGTGAGGTAAGTGTATTAATAGTACTTCATATCCAGCATTAAACAAAAACATTTCTGATCGTCAGTCTTGGTAACATCGGCACATGATTCCCATAATTCACTATTTGTGTTTAAAATACAAACGAGAGCCACTAATATCCATGGAGCACTTACTACATGTCAAGCACTTAGAACACTAGCACTGTGTTGAATTTAAGCATCAAAACACTGTATGGAACAAAATTAATGTTATCCTATTTTAAAATTAGGAAAAGCACATAAATTTTCTTTATTAAAATGTGAACATTCATTTTGCAGGCCTTGGTTTTTTGGGATAACATGATATTGGTCACTTGCCTAGTGGCTAGTTGAAAGAAAGATTCCAGAGGTTCTAGAACGGCATTTATCATCTTGCTCAAGTAAAAACTGAGCCCTACTCATTAGCCATTCTTTTGTCTACTGTTTTAACATGCTTTAGGTTTTAGAAAATCTTCCCAGATACGTGATATCAGCTTTAGTGTTATTTATTTTTTTAGATTAATGCAGTACTGATGTGCACGAGTGACATTTACTTTGTACAAATCAGTTTTCACTGTGTCTCTTGGCATATATAGAAGCAATCTGATGGCCAGAAATTGGATAATTTTATACCTCCAATAAAATTAATTGCATTGTAGCATTTTCTAAACGTAGCCTGGACTGACAGATTAATGTTCAGATACAAGTATCTGCTCTCAAGATGGTCCCATGAGATTGCAATAATGGCAGCATTATAACAGGAATAAAAATAGATGTCATATTTCAAATTGCCTAGAAAAACATGTATATGCATATGTGTATGCTTTCAGTCCAACTACAGGGCTCTTGTTGATAACAGTCCAGCTAAATGGCTTCCCAAAAACTATACAATTCATAATTATATGGCTATATATAATAGCCATAGGAATTTCCCTACAAACTTGTGTATGTTTTCATGTTCATATATATATATATACATACACATGCATACACAGAGAAATGTAGCTCATCCAAGTCAAGTAGAGGCAAAGCTAAGACTCCAAGTGGATTATCAGTTCTTTTGAAATAAAGAAGAAATTAACCTTGCTCAGAAAGAGGTCAAGCCTCCACCCTGTTTGAGAGGTAATATCTCAATCCTTGCAATGCTATTCTAGAAATGTATTTGCTTAACAAGCACACAGTAACAATAACATTTGTATGGAGTCTCTGAACCAAAGCAATAAAGTGAGAGAGGCAGGGGCTTTGGGTCATCAACTTCACCTTGGAGAAACAGGAGATCAAAGTAAGCCATGGAGACAGGTAAGGAGATTTTTATGCTCAGTCCCCTGAAAGCCTGTTGATGCCATGGCTCTGGGGATTTTCCCTACCTACAACCCTCCATATGTATTGTCACATATCAATTCCAGGAAAGTGATTCTGTTCTAACAGCACAGAACTGAAACCTGTGCCCCTCATGCTCTCCTGGATTCCACCTTATGCATTTCCTCCTTGGCTGATTTGAATCTGCAACCTTTAGCATGATAAGCAGGAACCATGACTATCATGAATTTCACTGAGTTTTATGAATCCTTCTAATGAATCACTGAATCTAAGGGCGACTTAAAGGACTCCAAAAACAGCAGCTGATGTCAGAAATGAGTATGGTCTTGTGTAAACGGTCCCTAACTTTGCAGCTGGCTTTCTTCATCCTTAAAAATGACTAGTTTTGAGACAATAAAAAGGACTATGAAAATGTTAAGAAAATTAGGTTATTTATTAATCTGACATTATGTCTTGATATGGGGTCTACAGTTTTACCGGTATAAAAGAAATGAGAATTACCACTTATAATCCTTACTTCCCTCTCACCTAACTGCTGTTTGTATTAGCTATAATTATACTTATATTGTCACTTTTCCATTCCATTTGTATACATAATTCAGTGCTGTTCAGTCTTCTGTATTTAAATAGAATCAATGTTTACCATCAAACCTTTCAACTGAAGGTTGTTCCTTCCTTCTAAATTCTGTTTTAACTTCAGGGGTCTAATATTTTTCAACAGTGAATTTTATGAAATACTGCATTTCTATAAATCCATATTCTGTGTTCATCACCTCAGCATCTCCTTAAGCTTTCTTAATTTCTGTTGAATAATTCATCAGGATATACTTTCTGATGATCATTTCTGATGATCATTGGAATACAGTGTGTTCTTTTAACTAACAGTTCACGTCTTTGTTTTAAGGATTTTTTCCATTATAAATAATTGTTCTCTTTGATCTGCTTTTTCTATAGAAATGTCTATTATGCACGTCGATATTTGAAAGTGTTTATTTGTTTTCTGTTGTTTATATTTTGCTTTTTCTCTTAACTTTTAGATCCATGGATCCATTCTGCTTCCTAAAAATGTTTCTGGTTCATTTTGGCTTTAAGTCTTTTGATATGGTGTTTATTTCTGTAATATTTTTATTTTTCTTCTGTTTTTATCTTTGAGCTAAGCATATTTATTTTTAAAGTCCTTTTAATGATTTAAGTTTACTTTTGAAACTTCTCTTTGGGGCTCTAATTTTTTTATTTCACAGAAAAATGCTTTCCTCAGTATTTCTTGACTATATTTAAGTGTTTATTATTTTAATGTTTATTCATATTTTTATTAGATTTATTTTCTTCTTTTTTTAAGTTTTATGTTCTTTATAAATTCCAGGTTTGTCCCTTCCAAATTATAAAAAGGCTGTTCACAGTTTTGATTAGGCTTGTCTTCAAATACATTGTCACCAGAGTTTTTGTATTGTTTTCCTTAGGCTTGTATATAGGACATATCCCTGGGTTTTTGTACTTTTACAGTAGGTACAGCACAAAAGAAAGATACTTAAATTATAAGAAGTATGTTGCTGACTAATCTTTCTCCAATATTCTCTCTGTAGGGAGGCTGATTCCCCTCTGAAGTAGTAAGCATAAGCCTCTACTAGATTTACATTAGTGAAATATACTTATCAAATCCCCTTATTTCATTAAGAAACAATTATTGAACCAAATTTTTCCAATTAGCTGTTATTTAACAAAATGACATACAATAAATAATAAAAGACAGAGTAGAATCTATATTGTGTTAGGTATACCTCTTTTCTTTTATAAACTGAAGAAAGCTAAGCTAAAATTAGTTGGAAATTGAAAGTTTTCCAAAAGAATAATGTCAGGAGTCGTAGTAATAGTAAATAATGATATTTCACATTAATTGTCATTACACTCTGACAGGAGGAATTTAAAGCATTAGAAAATTGTAAGACTCTCAAGCCAGTAATAAAAAGTGAAATCACTTTCAACATACTCATTGGATGCTACTTTGGAATGATTTCACTCACAAATTTGTAATGAAAGTAGTGTGATTAACAGAGAAAATTAAGTGTGAGGGATGCAAGACTTAGGAACATTACCATTCCCTTTCCAAAAATACCTTTATCCAGAATACAAGTGCATTTCTGACCTATAGACCAGCCTTTAACTATCCCAAAATAACCTCTTCTAAAAGTGATTTGCTCTTTCTTTGGGTTTAAAAAGTTGGTGTGATGCACTCCAGATTTCAGTGGGCAGCTTAGCTAAAAGGGGAGGACCTGCAGCCAGAGAGCACGTGTGCACCAATTATTTCCAGACACTGAAAAAGTCACCTCTGACAAGAAAATCTAATATACTTTGTTATTGTTGTTGGTTCTTTCAGGTGACCTTTGATGTAAGGAGTTTAACTACCCAGAAATCTTGTTCTATAAAACTGAAGAAGTTAAGGATCTAAGAAATACAAACGTGCCCAGATCTGCACTATGAAATTCTCAAGGGTCTTTTCAAACACAGTTCCATAAAAGGTTTGAGAGGGTGCTCTGCAGTCCTCAGAGTCACAGGTTTGGCCACTGAGAAGGGCACAGCAGGGAAAAACTGACGAATGAAGGCCTTTCTTACCCCTGTGTGCTTATATGCCCCATCTGTCAGCATTCATTCTTGCATGTTTGTATCAGTTTAGGGCAGAAAGTGAGTTGGGAATTTTCTTTCCCATTCTCTGAGATTGGAATTCCAGGTTCTTTGAATATTTGGTACACTCAACAGGAAAGTTTTCTGAGACTAAGAAGAAGTTTTAGGTTATAAGTTCATTTTACTTGGTGTGATAATTGTTAAGTGTTAGCTTGTAGTTTTCTAGAAATTAGTCCAATTTGTCAATAATTTCAAATGTATTGATATAAACTCATACGATATACCCTTTTATTCTTGTCTTAATTTCTAAAGCAGCTGTGGTAATTCCTAATATTGCCTTCTCTCTATTCATTAACTGGTCTATTTCTTTATTTAAAAATTGTATTTATATATTTTGACATTTCTCATCAAATGTTTTGTTTCATTAAATTTTGCTTTCTTATTTTCTTTTTAATTTTTTGGAGTTTACTTTAGTATATTTTTAAAAATTAACATGCAAATGGACATTTAGCTCCTTTCAACTAATTTTCAGCTAAAAGTTCAGTTTTTAAGTGTGACATTTTCATTATAATTCAACTCATAGTATCTTCCTGTTTCTATTTTGAGGTTTTTGAAAGACCCATGAGAATACAGAAATTGTTTCTCTGAAAATATAGATTAACTAGTTGCTTTCAAAAATTATTTAAAGCATAATTAAACTGTTTCCAATAATATAATCCATATAATTTGTTATAGTTTGTTAATAGATACAGTAATCTTTATTAATATTTCATGAGTGCTTGATAAGAATAGTTATTCTGTAGTTATTAGATGTCGACATTTATATGCTTAATAGTTCAAGTAATTTGTTTATTGTATTATTTAAATACTGTACATCATTGAAGATTTTTTAATTTACTTTTGAAGTTCTAAAAATCAATTTTATAAATTTTAAAGTGTTTCTTTAGTATAAAATCTATTTGGCAGTTACTTTCTACAAGCCAGTTAAGGACATCTCTCCATTGTATTTTGTCTCTCTATTGATCAATCAGCTATTAAGCTTTTAATCCTAAAAAGGTAATTTCTTTGGGTGCTTTTAAAATATTAGTGATGTTTTAAACAAAAACTTCAGAGAAAAATAGTATTGGAAGCCCATAATTAATTTTACATGGTATGAATCGTAAAAAGATAATTAGCAATGGTTGAATAATAATATTTAAGGAAAATTAAAAGACAGAATATATCAGGACCTATGTCTAATATTTATATGTCATATCATTAAGCTTTAAAATTGAACAAAAATTACACATCATTGATCACATGTTGGAGAACAAAAACATAGGAGATGACTGAACTTTGAAGAACATAGTTAATTAACATCAAGTGCTTTATTTAAAGATCTCAACTTTTTAAAAAGCAATAATGATTATCACAATTCAATAGTATAAAATCTAGAAAAAAGACATTCAACTTTAGAACGTTTCTTTTAGAAATATAATACTATACTTACTTTGTAAAAGAAATTTGTTCTCCCAACGGAACCAATTTTCCCAGTGTGGTTCATGAAACAAATATTTCCTTCAGTAGCTCCATAAAATTCACACATCTTAATATCTCCATATCTGTCTAAAAATTGTGTCCATACATCACTCCGTAAACCATTTCCAACTGCCAACCGCACCTGATGACATTTTTCTCCTTCTCTCTATTGGGAGAAAAGGTTTTATTTGAAATTAATTCCAATTAATTCTTTCATTCATTATTGTTATTTAAATAGCAAACACCCCAGAAGCCACATATGCACAACAATGGAAAGAGAAGTAAAAAAAGAATGCCCGTGTAAATATATGGCAGAACTGTGTCCAGCAGCTCATAAAAACAGCATTGACCCAAAGGATAGGAAACACATCAAAGGAAGTAAAAGATATATGTGCTGCAGTGAACATTTAAAAATTCATGTAAGTATATTCCTATTAAAAAAGTAGGAAGAGCAAGTAACACCTGAAGGAATTATAATTGAGGATTTTCTAATAGTGATGAGAAAACATCAAGCTATGGAGTCAAGAGTTTAAAATGTCAGACGGGAATTCGGGAATTCAGGAAACCAGGGGCAGAGGCGTTACCAGAAGGGAGAAGCAGCAAGGAAGCCATGACGTCCCCTGTGCACTTTTGGTGGCCCTGCTGGCTATGATGAACCAGCAAAGAAGCTACGCAGTACCCCTGTGTGCTGGTGGCAGCCTGCTGGCTGGGAGAACCAGCACAGAAGCCACTTCCCTCACCCCACCCATAAGCAACCAGACATAACACAGGCTGAGATGATAATAATGGACATTCCTGTTGTTTGATTGACTGCAATCCTGGGACCGGTAGTCTGAGCAACTATTTAAAGGTAACAATTTGCTACATAGTAATGATTGTGGATTTTCTATTGTCCTATCACTGTTTTATTTGGCTTCATTTTACTGTTCTGTTTTATTCTCTTTAAATAAAAATAATGTCATTCTGGATATCTGAAAAATGTGCTTGGGCATTTTCCAGTAAAATTGCTAAATGAAAAAAGAGAAAAAGAATTTTAAAGTGACCAGAAGAAAGAAAAATGTCATTTTCAGTGAGAATAACATCGCTACTGTAGATTTTACAAAATTCACTAGAGAACATAGAAGAAAATAGGATAAGATATTTGGTGTATTAAGGAAAAAATAACTGTAAACCTAGCATTTATACTCAGTGAAAGCACTATTTAACAGCAAAAGATCTATTTTCAGACAAATAAAAACTAAAAATTACATTTTCTGTGCAATAATATTATATGGAACAATAACAGAAATTCTTAAAAGACAAATAGTATCACACAGGAGCAAACAAATGAACAAAAAGCAGCAAAGAAGAATGAAAAGGACCAGAAAAAGTGAGACTGTTAGAACTTTTATATGTATATTGAATTGTTAAATTACAGTTAATAATATTTTTAGGTAGGGGCTGGGGATTGAGCTCAGCGGCATAAGCGCCTGCCTTGCAAGCAGGCAGTCGTGAGTTCGATCCCTGGTACCGATAAAAAGGAAAAAGACAAAAAAAAAATTTTTTAGGATTTTAAATATGCAATATTAGAGTAGATGACAATAAAACATTAAAAAATGAAAGTAAGTAAAGAGAAAGTAGTATAAAATCTTTGTCAAATAAATGCAAAAGGGAAATTTTAAAATAGAGTTAGTAAGTTAGGAATGAATGTTGTACTCCTGAAAGTAAGAAAATACTAAAAAAAAAAAAATATTTAGAGAGATAAAATAAAATGAAAGGTGTGTATCTGGAAAGTTAGTCAAGGAAAACGTAAGAAAATATCATTTCAAAAGAAAACAAAGTAGGAAGGGGAACAACAGATGAAACAAAAGGAAAACATGGCATGAGAAAATATTTAAACCTAATTATGTCTTAAATATATTAGATATAGTTTGACTAAGTGTAGCATGGAAAAAAAACCCCAAGCATACATAAAAATATACAGTCCAATTATATACACACATACATACATATACTGGTATCAGATGACATAAAAATTGAGAAGAGATGTAATCATCAGACAAAAGGAACTAGTAGGACCATATTAATATAGCATACTGCAGATTTTAAATAAATGATTTTGCTGATTAAGAGGGTCATAATAATGATAATAATAATAGGATCCATTTACCCAAATAAAGAACAGCAAAGCTAAATTTCTATTTAATACTGTCAATATCTTTAAAGGAAAAATTGAGAGAAATAAAAGGAGAAACAGATAAAAATCTGTTTTCAACTTACCTCTGTAGCTACTCATAGGGCAAGCAGAGAAAAGAATAGTAAGAACAGAGAAATTTTTAACAATTCATCACTGTCTACGGCCATAACACCCATCACTGACTATGGCCATACCACCCTGAACACGCCTGGTCTCTTCTGATCTCGGAAGCTATGCAGGGTCGGACCTGATTAGTACTTGGATGGGAAAAATTCATCACTACCCAATCTACATACCCAGAACAGTGCCACAGATCACTGAAGAATATACAGTCTTCTAAAGTGCCCACAAAACATTTTGGAAAATAAATATCTGATCCTGAGTCTTATATCAAGTTTTAACTAAATTCAAAGCACTAAACTTTGTTCGCAGTATGCTTTCTGACAAATAAAATTGTTACAAATTAATTACAACAAGAAAGCTAGAAAATCTTCCAAATATTTAGACAGTAATATGATTTTTGAGTAACTTACAGATAAGAGAAAAATGTTACTACAGAAATTAGAAAAAGATTATATTGAATGATAAGAAAAGACAAATACTAAAGAACTAGGCAAAAGCAATGCTTTGAGGAACATTTATAGTGTTAAAGAGGAAACACTTGAAAATTATGGGCTGCATTCTTTCTATTTGTCAATTTATCTAATAAGAAAAAACAGATGGTTGGGATGTAGCTTGGTGGTACAGTGCCTGTCTGGCAAGCACAAGGTCATGAGTTCAATTTCCAGTTAAAATTGAAAGAAGGAAAGAAAGAAAGAAAGAAAGAAATCAGATACTACACAGAAAAGCAGGAAAAATACTTGGGAGATAATCCATGATATATAAATGCATGATGCATTGTGTGTACATGCACATATAGATATATGCATATAGTACATATATATTATGCATGTGCATAATTATGTATGCATGTATAGGTATAAACATGTTGATATAATTGTATGGAATTATTATTAATAATTAATTATGTATCATACTAATATGTGTGAATCTATCTTCTCAGGGATGTTTATGTAGCTCCTTGGAAGCTAGACATTTTCAGTTACAGAGAAAATTTATTTACATTCCTTCATAACATTTCTTTCCTCTTCTGAGAGATAGACAAAAGAAAGGCAAACTTACCAGAAACACCCTTAAATGACTAAGAACTTCAAAGGACAGTATTTCTCAGCTTTGGCACAAACCTATGCCACAAATGTAGCATCTTCCTGGGCCTACTTGTACGTTGTTGTACAGACAGGACAGGAGACTATTGCAGACACAGGATGTGAACAGGAGTTCATGATACCTTTATAGTCTGAGTGATAAACTGCATAAATTTATTTGAGTTTATTATTTCCTTATCAGTGGTCTTAGTTACTTTTCTTATTGCTGAGAAAAAATGTATTTCTTATCTACTCAATCTGAGCACCACACCGTACATCAGTCCCAATGTCACATCATAGATCCACCCACCTCTGAGGCTTTGGGGAGGCACCAAGACACAAACCATAACAGCAATAAGTTTATGGTTGCTTAGTCAGCCAAGCACTCTGCTACTGCTACTGCTTGACTGTGTGATAAACTCTACAGCAGGTATCCCTCAAAGACAGTATCAAGCAGCCAATCAACACTTAGGAAAAAAACTTTTTCTTCTTTACCCTTATAAATTTTCCACCAAGTGTTGGCAAAGATGCAAGACAACTGACATCCTCATGTACTGTGAGGAAGATTGTATGTTACTAGTACTACCAGTTTGGTAAAATATTTGGGCAATAGACTAAGACTGAACATACGCATACAATATAATCATAGCAACTCTACTTCTGATTACGTAGAGTGAGAAATCTGTATATACATCTTCCAAAAGACCCATATAATAATGTATGTAGTATCGCTAATCATATTAAGATTCAAATAGAAACAACCCAATCCATAAATAGAAGATTGAGTTTTTAAATGTAACATAGTAGTAGAATAGTCTTACTAGTTTTCTATTGCTACCATATGAATCACCTTAAATTTAGAAATCTAAAAGTAGTTAGGTTGTAACTTGTAATCTTGTAATTTCACACTAGAAATCACATGCAGAAATCCATCCTAGCTCAGGCATTTATGTAATCTAGGATTCATTAAGCTGATGTGAAGGTGTGGTTTCTCTGGGCTCTTCTCGGGAGCTCTTGGAAGTATAGAATTCCAAATTCATTCAGGTTCTGGCAGAGTCTGGTTTCTGAGGTGGTAGGATTGAAATTTGCTGGCTATGAGAGCTCTCCTGCTGCCCTAGAGGCCTTTCTACAAGCTTTGCAAATGGACCTGTCCGTATCAGAGCCAGAAATGACATACTGCTTCAGAAATTGTGTCTCAAGATTTTCCACCCTGCTTCTGCACCATGTCCTTGTTTTCAGCCAGTGTCCCTTGCTTAAAGGCTTCATGAGAATAGCCCACACCCACTAGCACAGTCTCCTCATTTTAACAGCCTATAATTGCCTCTGCCAATGTCCATACTGAGCATTTTCACATGTTCTGGGAATTAAAGTACGGGTAGCTTTGAGGAGCCATTTTCCTGCCTTTTTAAATTCTAAAGTGACAATAAAAGATGAACTAGAAGTTCACTCAAAACCAGAGCTGAATCTCAGAGTCACAGAGCTGAGCCAAAGAAGCAAGGCCAATAGAATACAAATGTACAAGCTGATTTAGATTCTGCTTTTCAAAAGTATGCAAAACAAATTCACAGGGTAGAAATTGAAATATTGCTCTATTTGGAAGGACAATGACTCAAAAATAACTCTGGACTAGATCTTAAAGAAAAAAATAATGAAATGCAAATTCATTATAAATACTTAAAGGGATATGAAGTTCCTTTGAGAAATATCAGCTTATTATAGAAAGTTTTGAAATATATTAGTGACAGGCATGGAAAAGCTTAATTAAAAATTAAAACATGACAATTA